AAGCCATATAAGTGCCCAAGATTTTTCAAGTCAAACATTAGTTTTTTTACTCATTATTTTATTTTGGTTTTATTCATAAATTAGCCCTTGAACTTGGTAATTTTTCTCAATTTCGTATATGAACTTTTCTCCATAACTTTGGAAAAAACTCTTAACATATGGCATTACTTGAACAAGTCTAGTTTCCTCCGTTCATTCACCCCATTACAAGAAGACTCTTAACATATGGCATCGTATGTGAGAAGTCGTCTTGGATTCAGGGATAGACCGAGGGGTTGAGCTGTAAGTAAGCATTAGAGTTTTAGAATTGTATTGTAAAGAGACAAGTTAGGGTTTGAAGCAAAGACGAGAGTAGTCATCGGAGAAGGGGCAGGCATGATGATGGGATGATGTTCCAGGAGATGGGACCTCTTTCGATTCAACCATGAATGGTTATCGATGCTTGGACGTGGCTTCATCACCATCTGTCACTTCTTCTTTTAGTTTGACCTTCATTTTCAACTCGCTTGTAAATCGTATCCATTCCGAGTTTGCAATCACAACCCGACAGCCATGCAGACACAAACAAAACCATTAGCTTTCACATCTCCTTCATACGGCAAGATGGATCCTATTCCGAACCAAAAGAAAACCCTAACAGGTAATAATATTTTATTCGAATTTAAATTTAGATATTAATTATCATAATTTATAAATTAAAATATATTTAAAATTATAATATTGTTAATATTATAGCTCGAACCCTCAACTTAAATTGAGTAATTCATACAATCATACTCATTGTTAGGTCAAACAATAAGTTTCAAGAACAAATCATATTTAATTAATTATTAATAAGTTTAATCTCTATTTTTTCTCGTTTCATTCATCTTCTAATTTTCTTATATCATTTTCATCGTCAGAAACGATATCAGTCATAGATCGATCGTCAATCGATAATTTTTCTTTTTATTTTCTCCATCTTTCTTCCTCTAGCTTTGTCATGATTTTGATTGTGTTTTTCTTTTGCATATTTGAACTACGTAATTTTATTGATCCATCGCTGCTAATTTAAACCTTGAGGGTGGTTCTTTTTATGGATAGACATTTATAATCACTAAAGGTGAGTCGCACTTGAGTTGTGATAAGGTAAATTTTCAATGTGTAGTAATTATTATATATATTTTTATAATAATATTGATGATATTTATCTTTTATCGTCAATAATCATATTTATTTGTATTTTCAATAAAATCATATAATAGACGGAACCTATTAGGATATAACTTATAAGCAAATTTTTTTCATGTAAAACGAATCGTGCCATTTGATGAATGAATGAAACTATATCACAGATTCAGTTCAAATTCACGTATGAACTTCGATTACGACAAAGAACAATATTTTTTTTTGTAATTTCAAATCAAATCAGCTTTACAATGAAACTAGACTCATTTTCACAAATGTTTCTCAAGTTTTCATGCATGCATGTGCAATGTCTCCGCTGCTATCAACAAATCCATTGGTTTATGCCAAACATAATGGTCCTCAAAAACTTGGATTATTATCCTATTTAGGACTAAGGGTTTAAAGTTATATATGTATCTTAACCAACGACCACTTGGTCTAGTGGGATGAGGCACTAGATCCCTTAAGCAAGATCAAGGGTTCGAATCTTGGCGTTTGTGAATGGAGCAAACTGGGTTGGGAGGGTCACCCTCGCCTCTGCAGTACCCCATCTGGATTAGTCGGTTAATAGATCGGATACCAGTGAATGAATCCCCACCCATTTAATGCAAGGGAAAGGTGCCCTCAAATTTTGTGTAGGTCACTGTCCTCTCATATTAAGTGTGTGGGGTTCCTTCTACAGGGTTCTGTTTTGGCATTTTGGCCTTGTTTTGGGGCCATTTCTACAGTTTGAAAACCCTAGTGCCCCAATGCCAGTATATTTTCCTTTATAAGTTACTGTGCCCTTTCTCTACATGGAATATCTATTATATCTGTAATCTAAATACATTAAGTTATGAGTTATTATTTCATACATTGACGGAGTCTTATTTAAGGACTTTAAACCTTAATGTTGATGAGTCGCATTCAAAAGCTTGGCGGATTCCAACTGTTGACGAGTCGTATTTCGAATGCATTATCCAACCTGGGGAAGATCTTAGAGGATCAAATTCTACAAAATAGAAACCGAAAAACTTCGATTTCGAGTTTGTTAAACATCGTGATCGAATTTAAGGTCACACTCATCATGCACCACAAAGACACGGGCTTTGAGTTTCGGGGAATACCACAAGTTTTAACTAACAACTTTGGTGAAAGATATTTCGTCAATTGCTCTCGTTTGCATTGCTGGAGCAATAACGGTGCCATAACCGTGTTGGGATGAATATCCCATGCACGCATGCAGAGACAGCTATCGTGCTCGAACATTAATTTGTGCTAAAGCTTTGGTAAGAGAAACCCTCGTTAGGTTTGGTTTCCGGAACATGTTTCGATGCTTAAGTCGTTATGGAATAAAGAATACACAAAAAAAATGAAGGAATTATCAATGGATTTTCAATAAAAGATACCCTTTTGACGTACGTGCATATCAATGGATGATATAAGATCAAAGTTAGAGGGTATGGTTTAGTGACTAAGGATCAAAGTGTTAAGATTTATAATTTAGAGTTTTGGATTTTAGGATTTAGAACAAGTAATAGTATTAAATAATATATATGAAATTAAAATAATTCATTAACGTGACACTATATCTTTTGGATAAGATCAGAGATTCGAAGCTTGACATTATAAATACAATACACTAAGTTGAAAAACTATTTTCGTAATGAACCTTATAATATCCAATCTAAATTAATCAGCCGATAAATCCAATATATTCCTCTAATAATGTATCAAATAGAGAAATACTAACCATAAGTGGATCATGTTTGCTTGGAGAAAAAGATTTTTTTGAGAACAAAATCTATCAAATAATAGGGGCTGGATGTTATGTGTATGAGTAATGTAGAACAAGAATATTAATGATTAAACATCTTTTTAATGTGCACGGGTGAGGCTGAAATGGACCCTCCTCAATAATTCTCATGCTCCCATCTCTTTCTCAATTGACTGTCCATACGAAATTATTTAAACTTATATTATACTCAAAATTCTTATTTTAAAAAAACTAAATCGTATATTTCGTTTAAATCAGTTTGTCGATCTTATTGTTTAGCTCTAGATCAAAAGATTAAAGAATAAAAGGAAATTAAATTGTTTACATTCCCAAGTTAACAACAAAGAGGGTAGATTAAATGAATTTATATTCCCAAGTTAGAATGTAATAAATATTAATCAACACTGTCAAGTGCAAGCTTTAACTAATTAATTAATTAAAAAATTAATTTTGAATTTTAACTGAGATTAGGAATAATTCAAGAGCTGACACATGACACACCATGAAGATGAACTCCTTTGAGCCCCACATGGTACTGCACTGCCCCAAGATGGACCCTTTTATCACATGGGGATGTTGTCTTAGCTTTTGCCTTCAATATTTTAATCTAAGCTCCATATATGGTAGACACATTAGTTTTAATTATTCTAAAATTTAGTGGAACCGAATTTTAAACAAAGATAAAATTCTTTTAATATTTTTTATTTTTTATTTACAAAACTCGAATAATGATCAAGAGTTATGCTCGTGATAGATCAAGGTCGGGAGAAATAGGGAGAAACGCATAATTTTATGTTGAAAGATAAATTTATAAAATTTTAGGAAAACAAAAAAATTATTACTAAAATATATTAAAAATATCTAAAATATATAAAATCTATCACTAGATAAAAGACTTAGTCTCCTGGTACATTATTTTTAATATATTAATTATTATCATATATGATTTGCTTATGAATTATATAAATCATATTTATAAATAATAATGAACGGTGATTAAATTTATATTAAGGAATAATAGATAAAGAGCTTTAACTGTAAAGTTATATGTTAATTCAATTGTAAATTTACGGTTCAGGGTCTTAAAATTTTATTTCTCATTTTTGATCTCTCATTATTTATTTTTTTAATTTCATGTATTGGGTTAGAGAAGATTAAGGATGGGTACGATACTCATATTCGATAAATTTTGACCTAATTTAATTTTATAGGGTTATTTTTATTTTTATTTTGTTTTGAAAATTTGAGTTGGAATTTGGTCGGCTTTCTTTAAGGATAAGATAGGATCGAGTTTAGGTTTAAGGTGAAAAAAATCTCTGATCTAAAATAATAGTTTAATTATCCATTATGTAGAGACAATTGAAATATACTCTCTTATCTATATATATTTTTCAATTAGGTCTCTATTTTACCTAATAAAAATTAAATAAATAGATGAGTTAGGATCCACTTACATCTAGTGTAAAACTTTTAGTTTAACATATTTTTAGGATCATTGGATGAGTGAAAATAGACGACTGATATTATCTTATTATTTTTTCCTGCAAATATTTTTTCATTTATTATTGTTAATCCCAGTTATATATTTTCATTCATCCAAACGGTTCTAAAAGTTGTAAAATTAAAACATTTTACAGAATGTAATCGGATTTTCTCTCTCTAAATACGACAACAAGGAAAATCCTTATAGAATAATAAAATTATATATTAACTCAATGATAATTTTTTATTTGGAGAAAAATTTATTGTGAATATCTAAAATTTGATAAAATTACATCAAATCTCTTTAAAAAAAATATAAAATTGTAAATAAATATAATAATAAAATAACATTTTAATTCCCTTTAAAAATTTATAATTTAAATATAATTATCTTTTAACTTGGGCTTGCTGAGATTGTCCCCACCATTGTCCCCCTTATTACAAGGCAGTTTGCCTCAAAGTTGCTGCCATTGCTACCGACAACATAGCTTGCATTTGTCCATAATTCATGCATTGAGAGAATAATAAGGCTTTGCCCATCACCACTCTTCAATAAACCCTATAAAAATACCTTCATCTGCATCCACCATTCCCACCACCAATCCTTCAAGTAAAACTACAAGAAGAAGAAGAAGAAGAAGAAGAAACAAAGAAACATGATGGAAAGCAGTGCAGCATATGAAAATGATCTCAACTTAAAGGCAACTGAACTAAGATTAGGGTTGCCAGGAACAACTGATGATGAAGAAGAAACAGCAGTTTCCAGTGTTAGAACCTACAAGCGACCATTGCAGGAGGATACTGATCATGAGAAATGTGGAGGAAATGGCAAATCTGAATCTCAGAATGAAACATCCCCTCCTTCCAAGTAAGTTTGCAAAAATAAAAACAAATATTTACCCCTTTTTTTTCATGAACTAATGGATGGGTTTGTTTGCAACATGTAGAGCACAAATTGTGGGGTGGCCGCCGGTTCAGTCCTATAGGAAGAACAACTCTCAGTCGAAGAAAACCGAGTCAGAGCCCGGGATTTATGTGAAAGTGAGCATGGATGGAGCACCGTATCTGAGGAAGATTGACTTGAGAGTTTACAAGGGGTATCCTGAGCTGTTGCAGGCTTTGGAGAACATGTTCAGGTTCACCATAGGTAAGAATCTGGATATGTGATGAGGTTTTATGGTCATTTCTTTGGAGGTGAAAGGACTTGAGATTTCATCTTCCTCAGGTGAATACTCTGAAAGAGAAGGCTACAAAGGATCTGATTATGCACCTACGTATGAAGACAAAGATGGAGATTGGATGCTTGTCGGTGATGTTCCTTGGCAGTAAGTACACCCACATATACCTATTCTTACTTATAGATACAAAATTGTGAAACTTACAAGGTTGTCTTTTTTTTTTTTTTTACAGAATGTTCATCACATCTTGCAAGAGACTGAGAATCATGAAAGGATCCGAAGCTAGGGGATTAGGTTGTGGTGTATGAGAAGATTCAGTCTTATTATATCCACAACACATCTATCTTTGAGGGAGAGAAAAGTAGTTTGAGCTTGGGTTGTCGAAGGAGATTGTTTGGATCGGATTCTCTCGGTTGCTCAGAATTCAGAAAAATTCAATCGGCTGCTGGGGAAAATTTACAAGGAAAAACAGATCAAGCAAACATGTATATGTATATTTGGTGGTTTGATTATATGTAATACTCTGGTTTTGATGTTATATTATATAACCATCAAACCATCAAACTAGAACTAGATTGAAGGAAAAAATCAGAGGAAAAAGAAAAAGGATACATGGGGTTATCCGACTTTTTTTTCATATTCGTTTTATAATTCATGTTCAAGTTCGTCCGGGGACTATATCCCCGAATTTGGTTATGTATACGCATGTTATTGTTGAACCTAGAAAAATACGAGTGTTTTGTTACTTTTGTTTTCATAAATAAATGTTTCCATTATATGTGTTCATAAATTCCTATTCTGGGTTAACTATGCATAACGAAAGAAAATAAAAGGAGAGAGATCCCAGCAGATTAAGGAGATTTGCAAAGGTTGACAAATCTACAGTTTATGGATTATTAATGCTTTAATTTTACAGCTTATTTATTTGTGTGACATTCAAGCATTAACAGGAGAAACAAAACACTTGTGTTTTGATTTTGATGTCTGTCGGAAGCTTGGATTAATTAGGACTCTTATAGATCTTTTAAGATTTTAAAAAGATGAGACATTTCAAGATACATAAAAAGGATAAGTGATAAATGGTTGAAGACATCTCGATTTACATATATATGAACCACATTGAAAAATTTATTACAAATAAGTTGATGTTCCGCACAAAGTTTTAGTTTTTAAAGAAAAAGCTTTCTTTGATTATATATATATATATAGAAGTATATGTATATGTATGGGTGAATTCACGAGATAATGTTCTCGATTTTTTTTTTCACGATATGGTGCACACACGAGATTAATTGTTGGAATGGGGTGAATTATACAGTGATCATAGGACGCCATGCAATCCAGGCGATCTTGTAGGACGCCATGCAATCCAGGCGACATACGGGTTGACATACGAGCCATACGAGCCAATGGTTCTCCCCATGCATACGAGCCATACGAGCGTTCTCCCCATGCGAGGTGGCCATACGGGGTGACATACGGGTTGACATACGGGGTGACATACGAGCCATACGAGCCAATGGTTCTCCCCATGCATACGAGCCATACGAGCCAATAGTTCTCCCCATGCATAGGAGCCATACGAGCGTTCTCCCCATGCGAGCCATACGAGCGTTCTCCCCATGCGAGGTAGGAGCCATACGAGCGTTCTCCCCATGCGAGCCATACGAGCGTTCTCCCCATGCGAGGTGTGCATGCAGTGGAATAGAGAGGTCGCCATGCAGCCTAGGCGACCTTGTAGGTCGCCATGTGGTCCCGGCGACCTTGTAGGTCGCCATGTGGTCCCGGCGACCTTGTAGGTCGCCATGTAGTCCCGGCGCCATTCCCATCATCCATTCCCATCATCCATTCACATGCAGCCATATAGATTCCTTCCTTCACGTGCTCCCCGCTGCATGCTGCATGCCTACAGCTCCCAATGAAACCATGTGAACCATTTGAGCCAATGCATGCATGTGAAATAATTGGTACAATAATTGAACCATTGCTGCGTGAAATATCATAGCTGCAATTGTACAATTATTGGTGAAATAATTGAGGCAGCCGGTTGGTGAAATAATTGAGGCAGCCGGTTATAAAAGAAAGAAAGAAAGGGAGAAGAGATTGCAGAAGAAAGGGAGAAGAGATTGCAGCCGAGAAAGAAAGAAAGGGAGAAAGGAAAGAAAGAAGGAGAAAGGGAGATAAGGTAATTTTTTTTATATTTAAATTAGTTTATTATTATAAATGTTTAATTTGTTAGTTTAGGGTTTATGGTAAAACAAAAAGCAGCTAATTAGTTTGTTAGTTTAGGGTTATATGATTGTTAGTTTAAGTTATAGTATACATAAATTAAAAATTATTTAATTAGTAAATGTTTGATAGTTATATAGTTAAAAAATAATTAATTAGTTTGTTTTGTTAATAGTTAGTTATATAAAAAAATTATTTAATTAGTTTGTGTTAGTTAAATAGTTAAGTTATATTTGTTTGTTGAATTTATATTATATAAAAAATTAGTTAGTAAGTTTATTAGTAGTATATTATAATGAAAAAATAGTTTATTAGTTAGTTTTAGTTATATAGAAGAATATTTTATTAGTTGTTTAAGGGTTTAGCGTTTACGTTTAACTTATATTTTAAAAAGTTTAGTTTGTTAGTTTATTAGTTTATTATATTATAAGTTATTATATTAAAGTTTAGTGTTGTAAATTAGTTAGTTAGTTTATATTAGATTATATTAAATGATTTTTTAAATATTGTTGTTTAATTTTTTTACAGATTCATTACAATGGCTGACCAAATTCCACTGTTGAGGCTTGACAATGAACATATTTCAAGTCATTTGGGAATAATGGTGAATAAAATATTTGTTTAATGAATTATAATTAATAAATATTTGAATATTATTTTATGATTGTGATAATTTTTTTGAAATATTAATTGTAGGAGGACGAGCAGCGAGTCCTTCGTCTTCGACTACATAAAGTGCCCAAGCCACACCCACTAATAGAAGAAAATTTGCAAGAGGCTGGATTTTGGTATATCACATTTGTGCGAGATTACAAGTTGGTCCCAGGTTTGATCAGTGCGTTGATTGAACGTTGGAGACCAGAAACGCACACGTTTCATTTGCCGTGTGGCGAATGCACGATAACTTTGGAGGATGTGGCAATGCAACTCGGGGTCCAAACTAATGGGATGCCGGTGGTAATGTCACATGAGTTTAATAAGGTGGAACAACTTTGCAACTTGTTTCTTGGGAAAGCGCCCGTACCACCAGAGTGTAAAGGGTGGCGGGTGAGGTTGTCATGGTTGAAGAATGAATTTCAACTTCAATCAAATAGTACAGAGCACGAAATTATATATGCAACACGAGCATATATATTACAATTGATTGGGGGAATTTTGATGCCTGATAAATCCGGTAGTTATGTTCACACTCAGTATCTTCTTTTTTTAACAAATTTTGAGAATTGTAGGCAATATAGCTGGGGTTCGGCGATATTGGCGTTCTTGTATCGTGAGATGTGCAAGGCGTCATTAGTCGTGAATGATAATAATACAGTAGAAATCGGTGGATGTCTATTGCTGCTACAATCATGGGCTTGGCATAGACTTCCGTTTTTGACACTATATGTATGACAGAAGGTAAATGGTTAGTGAGATAATTAAAGTAGTTATAGCTTTTATCAGGGAAATCTTATCGAGCAATGAGAAGATTTCTGGGGCTCAGTAAACATTGTTTTTTGTAATATTGTGTCTTTTGGCTAAAGGGTGCTTTGTTTGCAGCCCCATGCCTTTGAAGCTAATCTACCTGACTACTTTTTAATTCATGTTGGCTATGAAATTAACTGTTATATATAATAATATGCATCATTCTCCACTGCTAGTTACAGACTTGCAGTAAACAAAAGGCTGAAAGGTGTTAAGGAACATAATCTGACAAGATAAAGGTATTTGACAGACGTAATCCTAAGTTTATTTAGGTGTCGGAATAATATTTGAATACAAATTGTATTAAAATTGTTTTCATTGTCTAGCATGCGACCATCGAGGATGTAATTAGGATCAAATATTAAATCAAACATGAAAGGGGATTGAATATCACGAATCCATCAACTGTAAAATGGCAACGGTTTCGAGACCTTTACGACAGTCCCCGAATCATCGGAACCCCAAACTCCAATCCAGGATGATAATGGCGCAGCCACTGTAATCATCCTTTGTCTTTAACACAAAATGTACACAAGTCCTGTTAAATCTTTGTTAAGTTTACAAGTGCCCCTGTAAGTAAACGAATGCCTACTTTCGGGGTTTTTCTCGACAATACCACGACCAGTATAACAGCACAGATATTTCAACCTCCTTCATCTTGCAGTTCACAACTCTAACCTCGAAAATGTTCTCATTGTATCGAAGTTGTTGCCGGATTGTTCACACCTGTTGATTATAATAGTATGTGCGCTGTCAGATAAATGATGTCTGAGCAGCCAATGTTTCATCAGTCACTATCAATGATCTTTCAAGGAAATAGGACAAAGGAAAGAGCTGAGATCCGGTTTCGTCATATGTGGTTTGGGGCACATACTACCTCTGGTTAGTTAGTTATACACGCCCGAGAAGCCTTTTCATGATGGAGATGGATCACTCTCCGGTTTCCTCTCCGATGATTCTTTAACATTCTCATCGTTGCTGTCACCGGATAGTGATTGATTAGCAATTCGATCAGAAACTACAACTACAGCATGGCCCTGAACCACAGGATCTTTTTGTTTAGAAGAATCACCTTCACTAGGTGTATCGACTGAAGATGGATACGAAATGCCATACTTCTGTGCTTGAGCTAGTCCCGGACAAAGGCCCTGTGAGAAAAAAAAGCAGAAGAAAATTTCTAAGAATCCGAATAACACATTAATTTACCCCACAAATAAAATAGTTATTGAAAATAAAAGGCCTCAAACTTCTATGTCCGCTCCTTGTTTATTCTGCAATTTAGCCAAAAAAGTACATAAAAGTGATCACACTATAATGATCCAACGAGAAAAATAATTTGATTAATTTTGTGATAAATTATTATTTTTTATAATTTAATGATTAAAACGAGACAAATTTTTAAATTTCAATTACTAATGATTTAGTTAACAAAAATATAATAAAACAATAATAGTTAAATTTCATCAAAAGTCCCTAAACTATGAGTCAGATTCTAAATTATTCTCCAAACTTCGTGACATTCTAATTAAATCTTTAGAGTATTAATATCATATTTTTCGTTAGTATGACTTCGGCTTTGAAATCTAATATCGAATTAAATATGACGTAGAGTATATTTAAAACATATTAATTAAATTTAAATATAGCTATATCTACTACATGAACAAATTAGATCTGACCAAGGGTGGAAACACTTATGTGGTAGGGTGTCCAATTTGCTATTTGAATGGTGAGGTCTTGCAGAGTATGCCGCCGAGGTTGAGATGCTTCAGAGTGTTATGTCTATGTGGTTATTCCGTCGGTGAGCTACCGGATTCCGTCGGTCATTTGAAGCAATTACGCTACATGAATTTGCAAATCGAGTCATGTCCACGTCTTGTAATCTTTTCCGAGACAGGTTTCTTTCCTATGCTACTTCTTAAGCTCAAAATACTTTATATTTACGAGTGCATCGGTCTTGAGTCCCTTCCCAATCAGATGCGAAGGCGCACCCCTCACTTAAATATCTAACAACCAGCAAGTGTCCCAGTCTCCTTGTCGGCATGGAAACTGCACGATCTAGCCTCTCTCAGGTGCACCAAATATAGTTTCCTTTCCAGATGAAATGTGCCTGCTTCCCACAAGTCTAATGTCTGTGTATATCTGTCCAATGGGCTCCTTGATCTGACCTTGCTCAAAGAGCTGGAAATCTCTGATGTCCTAAACTTCAATGGTTACCAATGTTGACCGGCAGAGCTCGAAAGATTTTGTATCCCGAAGAGCATCTCACCCTGACAAGCATTGCAGGTTCTACACATGGCCATTGGCATCAACAATATTATATGATAGTATCTGTTAATTCTACTGCTTGGACTCATCCAAGTGAATATATATATATATTATCAAAAAAGTAACAGCAGTGTTATCAGATGGACAAAAATTTATTGATTTTCCTACAAAATTTACAACATTTTCCTATGACAGACCACAATCTAAGATTTCAAGTAGATCAAAGATGGTTACATGGGAACACCTTCTTTATGAAACTAAAACATCATAGTTTCGGCTCAATTCTGCAAACAGTCGATGAAGCGAAGCCCTTGGAACCATAAAAGCTTATTGAAAAACTAAAAGTGCAAAGGGAAACAGAATGACTGGAGTTACTTGCATTTTAGACTACAATAGGTTGCTCGCCTTCGAGCTCGGATATGACAATTAACAAATCCGTCATTGATAGGGAGAGAGGTTCTGTCTTTGGAGTTGGGTTAATAACCTGTGGTGCAACGAAGACCCGATTACACATCAAAGGAAAACACGTTTACAATCGAGCAAGAAAGTTATGTACCTTATGATTGTCCTTCACATATCCTATTGCAACTTCTTGACGCCAGCATGCCCTCTCGGTTAGCTCGGAGAATGATGGGTTCTCTCCTTCTTTCATGTAAAGACCAATATCCTGTCAAGAAAAATGTATTTGGAAGATCACTTTAATGGCAAGTAACTTTGTAGCGGATTACTTTAATGGAAAGTTTCCTTTACCTTCATATATATTTCATCACCTTCAGCATTCAAAACGTCTTTCCAGACCTCATTCAGATCACTGTGCTTGGCCACTGTTATGCAACACATACAGTTATTTTTTAAAAGATCAAACATCGAAACAATATGAATATTGCTTATATGACTTCAAGACCTTGAGCTGTTACGAGACTCATTACTTCCTCTGCCGCAATATAAGTTAGAGATGGCTTGATTCTTGAAATCTGCAGGGTTTGATTGAAGTATGTCAACAATATGTGAAAGAACGTAGAAAATCAAAGAAAATAAAATAAGAAACGATCAAAACCATTAGGAAATTACTTGTTTGCCTAATTTCGAGTCGACTATCTCTGCAACCAGATTTTGCACCTGCAGAACAGTCAACAACATTTCTCGAGCTACTTAAATCTCAAATCTTTGCACTTTTTTCTTGGATAACACTCAACAATTAAAATTCAAGACCATGAGGTTATCAAGATTATGTTGGACCGAACTTACCGTCACTCCGAGTTTGTTGCAGATGTTTTCGGCAAGAAGAAGAGAGTATGCAGATTGCTTGTCTGCCCTGGATGGATCTGAAAAGTAAATGGTTAGTGGAAGGATAAATTTGCCCAATAGAAACATCATCTATTCATAATCATTACCTCCAAGAAGCCATTCACTATCAGAAATCACAACAATGGAAAAGGGAATAGACTTCGGTTTCACGACAGAATTTTGTACGTTCATTATAGTTTCCTCCAACGTATCATAGTTCATGGAGTTTCCATGCTGCAAGGCGTGCAGATAAAAAGACAGTACTAGAATAAAACCTTCAAAGGCTTACCATTGCATCATTCTACACCGAAATAAAAGAAAAAAAGTACCGACACGAGCAACTAAATGAGACAGTACCTTATGTATAACCTGGACATTTTTTAGTTTTGCTTGACCTGAAGCAGAGATTGCCCTCTTCCTTTCTTCTAATGGGACATCCGATAATATTTCCTGTATAGTGTGGATAACAGAAGCAAATGTAATCCATTCATTTCCATCAAGTATAAATGATACGATTCGATGCTTACGGCTGAAAATCAAGACTCTATAAGAATCCCAGAAGAAAATAAAAGCATACCAACACGCTTCCAGGGCCGAGATAATTATCATACTCTTCAATCATATGAATAACATCCGGGCGCCATCCAAGAATAAGTATGCATTCCGTGGGTCCAAGAGTCTGGTCTGATGCCTACTTTTGCGGGCCAAAAGAATATAGATGAGTAGGATTTTCAAGAAAGTTCAATAGATGTTGTCACTTATATAGCACTCATCTCTTTGTAAAACATACCTTTGATCCCAATCTTTTGGGACGTTTTACGATACTTAAAAACTGTTCTTTCCTCAATTCGAAATCATGATCGGGAGTATCAACGATGGTTTTGAAAACTTCCATGCCTCGAAGTCTTTTGGTTTCTTCTTGTCCAACCTCCTCCAGTGCCTGCTGTTGTTTCCATGTCTTACGAATAGGTGCAATTAGCAATACCTACACAAATAGAAGAGAAATACATCAGGAGCTAGGGATATGATAGAGCAAGGAATGCATGGAATCGATTTCTTCAGAATTTCTGTCAGAATTTTGTTGACATACTTTGTCAGTTTCCTTCAGAATTTCATCATCCTTTGGATGAAAGTATATATGATCATCCCGATAAATACCACAAACAACTGCCTGAAAAGAAACCAACATAAGCAAACATCACCGAAGTTCTTACCTCTAGTAAACACAAAGGTAAGCGAAAAGCGTTACCTCCTGAAAACCCCGTCTTATTTTTCTATAAGTCAATCCTGTTAGGCTAGGAAAACGGCAAAGATTGAATACATTCTCTGCAATAACACAATAATAGTTAGTTTAGGTGAACTAGAGCTCAATGATATGGACAAGAATCAGAAATTTTACAGGTCGCGCTAAAATACTAGTATTAAACGAGAAAAGAATCGGAAAGCGGCTTTATTGGATCGAGAAGGATAACAATCCTACTTTAACCGGTACCCTGGTTCAGGACCATCTCGAAACATCTAAGAGTTAAGAAGTCCAAGTGCAGGTCCGGGTTTTGTTTCATCAAAAGAAGGGATAAAAGTTCAAGATGTCACCATAAGTAAACTTTCGGAAAAGAATGAAAAAGGCTATAAGCAACACATCATAATCGTTAAGCTCTCATACTTATACTTTTATAATTAAGCAAATGCCTATAAATCTTAATGAGCCCCTTCTGCCGAGAACATTGAACAAATAGTTTAGAAGCAACATTTTCTACTGGCTCTACTTTCACCCCGGAAATCGACTTTAAGAGCTCGCATGTAGTGGAATTTGAAACCTGCATCAGAAAAAAGAAAAAAGAGGCCAAAATTAAACTCAACATTTCTCATAGAGTACTACTATAATTTATTCCCATGGTTATGCAAATGAAAATACCTCAACAATTGTTGGTACAGATTCGATCTTGGGAATAGGTTGAAGTGCTAGTACAGAGAGAAATGCATCAGAATCAATTCCATACCTAATCAGTTAACAAACTGGTGTCACTAAACATACCCCCGAAGAAAACTGTCCGTAGTACACAATAAATAACGTGAACTCGCAAAGAACTGTGGATAGAGAAGAGCATAGCAAAGCCTATAAACATAACATTATTACAAAAATCTTCAACTAAACTTCGCGACATGGTTCATTGCAGACCAACACTCGAGAATTAAAACAATAGTTGATGAGGTCTTACTGGTCTCCTCTTGTAGGCAAGATGATAATGGCGCGTGCCTTATTGGCTGCCGCTCTTTGAAACGACTTTGTCAAACTAAGGCTACAGCTGCACAAGCAGAAACCCATGTTTAGGAAATGGAAAGTTAGTGACATGGATAACTTGAAACACAACGGATCAAATACACTCTGAATCAAATACATTTTATGAAGTTTGTAGATTCGGGGAGGAGGGCATTGTTATTGTACCTCTTTGTAAGGACATCGATATGGTTAAGATCCTTGGCAACGTTGTCAGCTAGTTTGTCAATTTGCTTTCTCGGGAGATCCGACATAAGAAGAATTCTCTGCCTCCTATAAAAATATAATGCACGTAGAAACCGATAATTATGCACAAACAAAAAAGGAAACAATAAACCTATGGTGGTGGCATAATGTTTACCTGGCTGTAGCAGTCCCTAAACGCACAGCGAATTCATGAGATCTATCGAATTGCTTTAGAATGAAAGACAGACGACCATTTAAACCACAAATGATGATATGATCAGATTCCAAAACTTGCATTTGGGCTCCTTCCCTGAGTTTTTGCATGTTTCTCTGTCACCCAAAAATGAAATTTCAAAGGCATCTATGGTAGCTTATGTAAATAATGAGCTATTGGACAAAGGAAGAGGTAAAACGAGCTCTTGTAAGAACTACTTACTCTGAATTGTTCTGTCATTGTGCTCAGCAACCGAGAATAAAATAATATGCCCCATATAGCAAGAACAAAGCCAACAAGACGCTCAATACGTGTTCTTTGCTGCAGTTCATAACACGAATACCTTTTTCAGACTGAAAGTTTACGAATTTGCTTTCGGAATCATGTGAGCAATATGAATGCAATCAAATTTTAAAGCAATGAAACAATTAGATTCACGACACACCACGCACTTTTAAATGGGTAGATGATGAACAAAGGCATGCCCACGCCTCCCAGACACAATCCTCTAGAGAATGTGTATTTCCCCTGTGTCGTTCAAGGCATAGCTACCGGATTAGCAAACGAAAGTAGCAGTATATCTCTTTATCCACTAGGAATTAGTGATTTTCCGGGAAAATAACATATGATTATCATATTTGAAGATTAAACTAAAACGAATAAAGCAAACAAGTGGCAGTCATGACCCGCCAAAAGGGCGGCCAAGCAGCAGTAGATTGTTATACAACTTTACCTCCTGCTTTTAAACCAAATTAAACATAATAAAACTTCACAAATCCTGATATCCCATATTCCATAAACGAGTTATAATCATAAAAACTAATATTTAGATAATAAAGATTGATTGTACATTACCTAAACTTGAAGAGGAGGAAACCACCAATGACAATAAACGAGCAGCATACTACCAGGAGAACCACGAGAATCCTACAAATGTTTTGTATCAAGTGAATTGTTCAATTCCGTAAACATAAATTCCTAACTTCAAGTCCAGGCAGATTTAAGAAGGGAATAGAAGTTATATATTAAACAGGCAATACAAACAGCTATTAACCTGTATAGCAGAAGAAATGTGTTTATGATTTTAATTAGTCATGGTAATTAGTCACTACAAACAAATGAAAACACCGCGAAAATAGATGGTAAGTGAAGTTTCTCTTACGTGGCAACATTTTTCTCGAGTTGAATGTTGAATAAATACAGTAACCGTGATATGTTCCATCGAAGATCCTGAATTACAGGCAAGGACACATTCAAGTTTAGAGGTGTTGGTTTATTCAACGAATTAGATACGCAGGCAAAAGTTAAACTTGTAGCTGCTGGTGTCTGATGTAGATGTTGAAATAACTCATGGACCATCTTTATTAATGAGTTAACAAAATCTAGTTGCATCAGTCTCAGTAAGAAAAATGATGACAGAGTTCCAGTGACCAGTTTATTATGATGATCCTTCACCTGCAAGGATGACAATCAAGAAAATTAGGGTATAACAAATCTTCTTGTCATTTTACTCCACTATAAGATATAGTTTCCATTAGGTTCATGTCCAGAATGGCAAGTCCATAATGGATCGCTGTACAAAATGAAGCTTGGACCTGATTAATGCTTCACTTAATCAACCAGCAGATGCATACATATCCGCTATAAGGATAAAGAAATTGAAAGAACATATTATAGCATCAAGAAAGAACATCCATATTAACTCTTTTGGAATTCATGATTTATGACTCACCTGGAAACTATTATGCAGGTCCTTCCTAAAGAGTTCGGCATCTGAAACAAACTTCAAGTTATCTGCTGCTCTTTGAATAGTAACCTTCCGTTTTCCTGGAGAAGGGAAAGCTATCATAGTTCTTTTGAAATGTGAATTTCTTTTTTAAATTAAGGTAAAGAAAAAGTAGGAAGAAGAGGTTCTAACATATATAAACATGCCAATCCTCATAAACATAAACAAACTAACATATCGTAAGTTGAATCAAGCACAAAGATAACAGACTTGTTTACCTTAGTATTATTGGGTTCGAAAAAACAGATTGACCTACTAAACATACTTATCAAACAAGTCAGCATTAACATGCAGACTCATTCAATGCAACAATCCAAATTCACCTATTTAAACACATGTGATTAAAGTTTGAGAAAGAGTGGCTTTCAAAAGCAATTACAGTTCCATAGTTAACATCAATGGATAATGACTAACTGCTCTTTGATGGGAACTCGACATAGATATTGATTTGAAAAACTATTAGTGCAAACAGCGAGGACTCACCTCCGTTGTATATAAAGTTATTTGCGTTGTTAGATGAAGAAATGTTCCACCAAATGATGCATGTTGATTTCTGGAAAAGTATCATATTGTTTGAGTCTCTTATGCCTAGTGTTCTACAACAAAATTCAAGAACTTCAAATGATTGATAGCTCACATACAGAAATATAAGATTATATGATCGATGAAGCATAAAGACAAGGGAGAAAAAGGAAAAAGAAAAGGCAATCTTGTCTTTAATCAACCAATATCATCCTTCAATAACAGGTCGGCCGACTTGTAAGGATGTTTTGCACCAACATCAATCTCATTTAGCTGTAGCCTTAGCTTTGAGAAAATGCAACAGGGAACATTTCTATTGAAAATAAATACGTTCAGATCAAATCCAAATATCAATATTTTCAGCCCTCCTCTTTGATTTATAAATGGAAAAAAATGAACAAAAGACATGATCAAGAACCAATCAGCCACTTAATTAAGATTAATAATACAAATCTCAGCTCACCCGTCACTTCTCTCAATCTAGTTGATCACTATATCTCTGACTGTAGCCATGATAATGCATATTATGCCAATGCTTTGGTATTCACAAAACTTGAGTCAATACCACAATGAATAATCAATACAGATGCTTTAAATTTTGGAGAAAGATGAGTGCTTTAAAATCATATGATCAAAAATGCACATTACCCCGAGGATTGCACCCCAGATGCTTAAATCCAACAATTCATGTTCAAAAAAAGAAAAAAGATAAAGACTTAGACATGAAAATGTACCTGGATGAAGCAGAAAAATAAGAGGGCTGAGTCAGCCTGGAAATTCTAGAGGGTAACAACCATGGCTGAGGGCTCTGTAACTGACAAAACACCATTTTTTTCCCTCTTTTTTCTATTAGTGAAGGATGAGAAACCAAAAAAAAAAAGTTGAAAAACAAAACAAATTTTTGATTTGGTTTGAAGAAATAGACAAAAAGTGATTAAAAGGAAATGATTTGAGTGTCGGGAAGAGTGGGAACTACATGGATTTGGATTTTTTTTGTATGAAAATACTGCAAACATGGGAGCATAGGCCATTGCTGTCATTTTCATTTGGGAGAAATTCACTATGGCATTGGCATCTAAACTCCACTTGTCCACTTCATTGCTGCTCTCCTTGTTTATCTCTCAGCTTTGTTATGCATTCACGTTGACACAGTATTTTTAGATTAAAAGTTGCATTTCAAACGGAAAATAATCCGTTGATTTTTGTGGTTGAAATTATTTTTTGGATATATCTAAACTAAAAAAATAAAGGAAAAAAATTGAAGATTTTGGAATTTCAAAGTTGATTGTTGAATAAAATAATTTTCTTATTCTTGCATACATTTAAAATATATAACATGCTGGAGTTATTCACGATACTAAAATATAGACAGCAAGATAGATATGAAAGATGCATATATATATAATGGTACAATCCTCTGGGCAAGTAAATTGGAGGAGACCAACCCTCATACAAGCTGAACAAATATCTCTGGCATGCTACAAGTATTATCACTAGTTAACTACTACCTATGTTTTCCGAATTCAAGACGAGAGTTCCGGCAAGATTCCTGACTCGAGTATGAGCAATAGTTTACCTCGCAACAACCGGAGGAGCCGATAGATTATCCTCGGATTCGTCGAAAATAAAATCATCACTCTTACACAATGTATAAACTATATCGACCATGCTAGGACGTTTAGTCGGATCTTTATTCAGACAAGAAACAGCGACGGCCATAACATTCATCACACCCTCCATTGATAAACTCTGCTCCAGTAAACTTCCATCCATAAATTCCTTCACTTTCCTCACCTTCCTCTCCTCATTCCCATCCAAAATTCCTTCAACACTTGCCCATAAAAGCTTCCCTTCGTCATCAATGGCTTCCCTGCCCGATACAAGCTCGAGTAAAACCACCCCAAAGGAGAAAATGTCCATCCTCGTCGAGACCACCCCATCCGCGAGATATTCCGGCGCGATGTATCCTTGGGTGCCGACAATATGCATCGTTATGGCATTGCAGCCGGATTTCGCTAGCCCAAAGTTGGCGATCTTGGCCCTCATGCTGGAGTCCAAGAGAATGTTGCTGGTTTTGATGTCTTTATGTACCACTCTAGGCCTTGTATGTTCATGGATGTATTGCAGACCGTTGGCAACATCGACTGCAATTCTTAACCTCGTTTTCCAGTTCAATTTTTCGTTCTCGTTTTCGTGAAGCCAAGAGAAAAGCGAGCCGTTTTCGATGAACTCGTAGACCAGATAGCAATTTGTGTCTTCAGGATCAATGCAGAAGCCCTCTAACTTCACTAGATTTCCATGGTTTACCTTCAAATGAAAGATACAGGATCAGGAGTATGGTACCAAAAAGCAATATAAGAATATTCGAACTTTTGGATCATTTTTAAAGATGGCTGCATGATCTAGCCTTGTGTGGGTTCGAATCCCGGCATTTGCGGAAATGTAATATATATTTTATTGATTATTTACTGCAATTATTGAGCATATTTGATGTAATTAGCTGTTTAAAATACTATCCAAATCTAAATAAGTGGGAGTTAGCCTCCTTAATCATTTTCAGTTTTAAAAAAATTCAAGCACCTAGCAGCCTTACGTAGTTGGGAATAGTAAAAACAACTTAATTCCATTAATTAGCCTAATCAACTTAACCTATTCATTATTTTATTGGTTATAGAAAATTAGGCATTTGCTATCATCATTTGTTAATTAAACCCCTCCCACTGATGTCCTTATCTGCTAAAGAATTATTACCACTTATTCCCATTTTACTATAATCTTTTCACATTAGTCCTTGGAATAATGACAGGAAACAAACATAATTTTCTTCTCCAGAATTTAAAGGGGGGGGGGAAGGTTTACCTTTTGTAAGATCTTAAGCTCTTCACATGCATTCCATTTCATCTTCTTGATTGCATAGGCATCTCCATCAATGGAACCTTTATAAACAGATCCCTGAATCAAGCAACTGTCACTGAAGAAATCAGTGGCTTCTTTAAGCTCATCAACCTTGAAAACTCTATACTTATCCAAGCAATCTGATACATCCGCCATTAAATCAGCTTCAACTCCCTTCAACCCCATCCCAGGCTTGTTCATCTTCAACCTCTGATTCTCTTCATCCTTCTCCTTAGCTCTCTTGTTAGATAAAACCTCTCTATAAACCAACACGAAAAGGAACAAAATCATCAAAATCCCACAAATTCCTAACCCGACGGACAGTCCAACAATGACACCTGTCCTCTCAGTTCCTCCAGGAGAACCTGCAGGGGCTGGCTCAGGTTGAGTCAAAACAGGTAAACGATTCACAGGGATGAATATAGTATCGGAGAGCTGAATGTTATCGCCATTGATATCAATTATGTCCTGTGTTCGAACCCCAAACCTCGAAGCAACGACAGACAAATTATCAAACGGCTGGAACACATAAGTAACGAGGTAATTCACACCGTTTCGGATCTGGGTTTCGTTAGGACACTTGCAGAAGATCGGAAAAACAATCCGATCGCCAATATTGAGCTGAGTAGGAACGGCGTTAGGATTGAAAGCTTCGACGGATTGGTAAGTGGTGAGGTTCTGGAAATTCAAACTCGATACTCGATAAAAAGTGTCGCCTCTTTGGATGGTGTAAGTGAGTTTAGCAGCTGAAAGACTACCCACGGTATCGTTAATGGAGTTGCAAGCACATGATATGGGGGCGAAGAGGAGCTGGTTAGGAATGAGAGGAGCTGATGGGGTGGAAATACTGCTTGGTTCGGATATCATTAAACGACTGAGATTGAAAAGATCAGCAATGGAAGCGAGGTCGAGGAAATCGGGTGCGTTGGGTCGATAAGAAACGTAGGTTTGGCACGGATAAGTGGTTTGGTTTGGGGAGCAAGTGTAGCCTGTGATGTTTGGTGGGAGCTGGGAATTGACATGGAAGAAGAAGAAGAAGAGTAGACAACTAAACAAAGAGAAAGGGTCTGGATTGGGCTTGGTTCTCATTTTTTTTTTAATGTGTGTTTGGTTTGGTTCAGTTTGTTGGTTGGTTTGAGTTTTATAACAAGAGAAAGTGAAACCGGGAACTATTGTTGTCTTTTGTTGACAATTAGACTTAAACTATTGTTTTTCAAAGAGATGACAGATTATTGGTATAATGATATTAATAGTCCTAACGTTCATATAAATAGTTATTTTGTAAAAAAAATAGTTATTTTGTAAAAAAAAAATAGTATTTTATCTATAATATTTTAACTTTTAGTTAAAATAAAGACATAATACAACAAAATAACTTTAACGTTTGACAGTAGTGTCAAATTTTCTTGTATTATTTTTTAGAACATTTGACCACTGAACATTTAATTTTAGGTCGAAATCACTCTCGATGGATGAAAATTATCAGTCAACTGACGATCAACACTAAATGCTGACGAAGTAAGCACACATGAACGCGGAAGCTAACGTGACGTGTTATCTACTTTTATTTACTTCCACATTTAACTTCCACATTTAACTTCCACGTGGTTGTGTGCTTGCTCTGTCAATATTTGGTGTTGACCGTCAGTTGACTGATAATTTCCATCCATTAAGATTGATTTTTTACCAAAGTTAAACATTCAGTGATCAAATGCTTCAAAAAAAATTATACGGGTAAGTTTGACACTACTATCAAATGTTAGGGTTATTTTATTGTATTATGTCAAATCATATTAGATGAATTAACTAACAATCAATTCATGTTAATAACATGAAATTTTCACATGTGTTCAAATGATGATATAACATATATAATATTATATTTTTAATGACGTGACACATATTATATCATTCTTTTTATAACATGATATATTTTATATAATTATTTAGATGACGTAACATATATCACATTATTATTTTAGATGGTGTGTCCCATGACATATCATCAATATGTAAAAATATCACGTCAATAACATGATTTAATCATTAGTCAACTAATAATTTTTATTCAATAGGATATGTTTTGACAAAAAAAAGTAAACGTTTTAGGATAAAATATTAAAAAAAGGCAAAGTGACCATTTGTATAAATATTGGAGATGTTTTTATTATTACACCTAAATTATTTGGAAAAAAAATTAAGACAACATAAAATAAATACTTTAAATATTAGCTATAATAAACAAAGATCAAGTATGATATATAAGTGAAAAAAATATTGTTTAAGGACCATTTTCTATCAAGACAACATAAAATTATAAATAGTCTTAAGATTTAATTGGTGTATAGATTAAGAAGAGATAACATGAACAATATACACATAAATTCAACTCGAATAAAATATATTAAAAAATTCAACTCGAACTCAATTGATTATAGATGAAAGATTTGAGTTGAAAATAAAATTATTTGGCAAAACCAGTAATTTTTGTTGAGGTCATGATAAAATCATAATATTTTTTAGAGTTAAAAATATAATCTTAATGTTAGGAGGATTTGAATTGAATTATAAATTTTCCAGAGAAACTAAAAGTGTAATTTAACCATTTAGACTGTATACGCCGATTACTGTGGCGGATTTTGATTTGTAAGTGAAGATTTTCAAGTCAACTCTATTGACTGTGAGGGCTTCCGTAAGTGGACCGGCAATTACTTCCGAGCTGAATTGTAAGAAAGAAAATTGATTTTCTTTTTTCACTTCGTAATTCTTCGATTTGATATTTGAATTACTTTATTCAATTTAACTTTTGAATAAATATCTATTCAAAATATTTTATAATTGTTGATGTCGTAATCATCTTTCGGTTGAGTCCCGGAATTGAAATTCATTTTGAAATAATGGGTTGGAGTCGCCACCGATCATTTTAAAACAATATTTAGGTAGATCGGACACCATCTTACCTGATTTGTATTGTACCAGAAACGTGTCGGGTTCGGAAGTCGATTACGGTCAATGAAAGATTAGCAACCTTGAACCGCCCTTTCGGTACCAATTAATTTATCGATGGTCTTTATTTGTGAAAATTAAGAATTTAAATCAAAATTTAAAACATTCGATTCGAGTTATCTACCTTTGATCAATTGAAATTACCCCTAAAAAATAAAAAATATTAGATTATAAAAATAAAATTGAATATATAAAAAAAAGAATAATAAAAAAATTATTAATATAATAGTAATAAAACAAATGAAAAAAAAGTAAGTGTACATAATAAAATGATAAAAAATTTAAAAAAAATGAAACATAAACGCACATGTGCTTATTTTTCATTTTGAATTGTAAAAGCAGTCGCAAATAAATAAAAGTGAGTTGAAATGATATAATGATAAAAAAGATAAAATAAAAAATGAAACATAAATGGCCAGTGGGTTAAATTTCTGCTTGCCTTTCGCTTTGAATTAAAATAGCAGTCTCGAGCCGTGCTCTTCTGCCAAGTGTAAGGAAGACCAAGGACGAAAGAGTAGTCGTACGGCTTAATATAAACAACACAGCTGGGTCCCACACGTTAGTGTACTGTCTCTACGTGAATAATGTTCAGACTAAGGACGATAACTCTATTTTCACCTCATTTCCTTTTTATTTTTTTATCTCTTTCGTTTCGCACAGAGAGAATAACAAAAGTGAAACTTTCAGGAGCTTCAACCGAAATGAGTTCCAACATGCCGGCCGTCACAGCCGGTTGCCGAAGGAGAGAGAAAAACACGGTTTGATGCGCTTTTTCACACTGATGATGGATCTGGGTTCTTCGATCGGTGTTTTTTTGTTCCTTTTCGAGCCAACTCTCAAGCCACAACCAACATGCAAAGGGTAAACTAACAAACGAAAAGGTAAAAATATACCTTTCTTTTATTTCTTTTCCGAAAAGCTCTTACAAAACGCCTCGAATGCTTTGTGTATTTTCGTAGTATATCTCGGATACAATATTGAGCGTATTTGCTTCTGTATTTGCTCGTAATTTCGTGTGTGCTCTCCCTAATCTCCTCCCACAAAGGATATAGATTACATGTATTTATAGTAAAATAGTAGAGTATTTTTAGATTCCTATACAAAATAGACTTCTAACACTCTTTGGTTGCTTTAGGTTGTTGCTGTTGACGTTCCTTGCGCCGGAGAATGCGGGGGTTGTTAGAGGTGAGACGTACGGCCGTGCATCTCGGAGAGAAAGGTGTGAGGCGTGGGTCTATTGGCCATGCGGCGTCGTTGGAAGCAGTGCGTGGACTAGGGTTCTGGAAACCCTAGTTTCCAGGTGGGTCACGGACTTTGGGTCTGGTACAGCTGGGCTGTGTGCTGTGAGGTCTAGGTTGGACTAGAACATTATGTTGGGCCTGTAAATGTAAAAAAAACAATAAATAAATAATATAACACATAATATATATATATATATATATATATATATATATAATATGTTTTATATTAAATATTATAATGAGACGAAATTTGATGTCTACAGTTGACAACATACATATATCATGTAATCGTAATTATTTAAATTCAAAATTTTTATAAAAATAATACTCTTTAACCGATAAATTTATTTAATGAGTTCAAATTTTAAATTATTTTAATACACTTTAATTTATATTACCGATCGTTTTGATAGTATCACACTGAGGATATGCTACATAATGAAAAAGATTTTTAAAAAAATTATCAAACTTAAAGATTAAATTAAAAAAAACATCAAACTTAAGGACTAAAAGTTATTTTTCCAAAAAAAGTCAATAAAGTAATTGGAGTAGGGAAAGGGTCATGTCTACCGGCGGTCTGCCATGACTAGAAATCTAGAATTGAGTGGTGGCGTCTTGAATTAGTTTGAGGTTTAACTAGAATAATTGAACCATTAAAAAAATGAAGTATACACAAAAATTATTTTAGGGTAAAGTGTATAAAATATTAAACTTTTTTTATTTCATTATAAAATGTTATTTTATTGAATTTTTTAATTATTAAAATTTATAAAATATTTTTTTATTATAGAAAATTATTTTGTTAAGTTCTTCAATTATTAAAAATTATAAAATAGTCTTTCAATTATTCATGTGATTCATATTTATTATTTTTGTTTAAAAAATTGATTGTCGTCTGAGTTAGATGTTAATTTGTTAACTGAGATATAATAAAATATGATCATATAATTATTTGAGTTGTGTTTTATGGATGGACTCTTCGTTTATATAATGTTGTCAATTCAATGCTTGAAACATTATGTTGTCAAGCCGGAACTTGAAAGTAACGACGGTGTCATTAGACATATCATTAAAATATGATTTTTTTAGTTAATCACTTGTATCCGATCTATTGATCGACTAATCTAGATCGGGTAGTGTAGAGACAAAGACGATCCTCCCAACTTAGTTTGTTCCATTCACAAACGTCAGGGTTCGAACCCCTAACCTTGCTTAAGGAATTTAGTGTCTCATCTTATTAAATCAATTGGATGTTGGTATTAAAATATAATTTTATTATAACACGATCAATAAGTTAACGTCTAGCTCAAAGTTCTATTAGTTTTTAGTGGAAAATGACGAATTTTGAATATATGAATAGACAGATGACCATTTTGTAACTTTTAAGAATCGGAGGACTCAACAAAATAACACTTTGTAATCTCAAGACCATTTTATAACTTTTGAAAGTCATAAAACTCAACAAAATAATATCTTATAGTTGAGACACTATTTGTATACTTTACACTATTTAATTAGTTTTTTGTTCAGTCTATTTTTTTTCTTTAATTTATGATTTAATGATTATGCTTTTTTCATTTAAATTTATATATATATATATAAACATATATATATACATATATAATTATTTACACATAATAAATAATTAAATTAATTATATAATATATTTTTAAATTATGACATTCATTTTAAATTGATCCTTAAATTTTTTTAATATTTTAATTCTATCCCTAAAATATGACTCTTATTTTAAATTAGTCCCCAAACTTTTTGAATCCTTTAATTTCATCCCCAAATTCATCTAAATATGTAATCAATTTCAACCATAGTTTAAACTAAAATTTATTTTTTTCAAACATATAATAATATAACTTGACCAAAAGATTTTATTAACAAGGGATGTAACTAGTATATATGTATAATTTGGGATGAAATTGAATTGTTTGAAAAGTTTGGTTACCAATTTAGATGAAGATCATATTTTGAGGATGGAACTAAAATATTTAAAAGTTTGAAGATTAATTTAGAATAATAGTCATAGTTTAGGATGTGATTAACTCTAAATAATTAAACATTTTAATTTTTATTGGACTTTAGGTTTACTGAGTTAGTGAATTGCCCATTTATTTAGCTAAAAACTATCTAAAATTAGAATTTAGTTGAACTGTATCTAATAGGATTATATATATATATATTTTAGATATTCAGTATAAATTCCCTAAAATTTAAAAAATAAATTAAATATCTAAATACTCAGATCAGATCAACGGACCAATTAATCAAATTTTATACACGTCTATTTATAATGGTGTATTTGATTTTATTTTTTATTTAAAAATCATAATAATTACTGGTAGAAAAGATTAAAAATGTCAGTTGGGAATCTCGAGATGAGCAGGACCATGAGCATCCTTGGATAGCACCAAAATTAGCAGCTTCTCTATTCTCTCCTTTGTTCTTCTCTTCTTATCGTCGTTCTCACTCATCAAGTCCGCTCCCATTTCTCACTACATGTAAGCTCTCTCTCTACATTTATCACACTGGGTTTTTTTCCTAATGGTTTACTGCTTGATGGGTATTTTTTTGTTCAGTCTAGTTTTTACATGTTTCGTATTGGTTGGCGTGAATTATCAAGTTTATATTTTAGTTTTGGTAGTCAGCTGCTGCTGTTCGATGCAAAATAGTTGGATTTATCGTTTATTGATCGACGGGACGAGTATAATAATAGCGTCTTTGGAATGAATAATCAGTAAAAATATATTGAAATGATTTTGGCTATTCGGCTTTGCTTAAATATTTATTGTTTCAAGCCTGAAACTATGGGTGAATATTCGATAAGTCGAATTAGGTTGAAAAAAAATTGGAGTTAGTCAAATTTATTATTATCATATCATTCAAAATTTATTTGAATATTTTAGAGTCGAGTTTAATTTATGAAATTCGAGTGTTCGAATTTAAATATAATTGTTTATAATTAAGATTTGTAATGTTATTTAATAAATCAATTATCATCTTTGATTATATAATACTTTATGATCTTATTTTTTAAAAGGAAAAAAAGTGATTTTAATGATATAGTGTTTATGAGAGTATAAGAAGTCAAGGAAACTACGTGAAGAAAAAATTTGCAGAGCTGCAGTTGAAGATCAAATTGAATAAAATACAAAGTTGAAGGACTGAATCACAAAAAAGATATTGTCAGAAAGAGGAATTGAAGTTATATAGTTATTTAACAATTATAGAGGAGTATGAGGTTCAAATTTAATTAAAATGGACTAAAAGCGAAGGAGATATTGAAGAAAAAATGAAACATCAAAATTGGAGGACTAAATTGCAAAAGGAAAATTTTGTTATCAAAAAGAGAATTGGAGCATGTGGTTCAAATTTGATAAAAAATAAACTTAAAAGAAGGAAAATGAGGAAATAGGAACCAAATGAAAAAACAATCAAATTACTTGGTTACAAACTAAAACAATGTTTTATTTTTCGGGTTATCAGTCATTCGAACTTTACAAATTCAAACTTAAAATCTGAACTAAAAATTCGAGTTAACTCGTATAACTCAAAATTAAAAATACGATGAAAGAATGTGCTATTGAGAAGTAATATAGTTCAAATTTAAGGCAAATACGATTTGCAAAGGACGGGGTATAAGAACACTAGCATATATTGAATTTCGAAATGGGTGTTTCTTAATGTTATAATAGTGCCAGTTATCATTAAGTCACACAGTAATGGTGTGTTTTTTGTATATGGATTGTATCAATTAACAAATTTCTTTCTGTTTCTCACTCAATATGTGAAGCACATTCCTATTGTGAAGATTTCTTCTAGTTTTCTGGTGGAATTGGATCCTTCCTTAATGATTTTCTTTTCCATCCTACATGTAGAAAAGATCTGCCAGACGTTTTGGCCATGGATTCTTCTAAAGCTGGTCCTGTGAAGGAATTGCCAGTGGGTCTAGATGAAGATACTGAAGAAGAATATGCTTCCCAGTCTAAACTACTTCAAGAGTTTACTAGCATCTCCACCATTGACAAGGCATGGGTTTTTAAGTCTGAAAGAGGTAGCTCTTCCTCTCTTTTTTTCTTCTTCTTATCTGAAACCAATAGGCTATAGTTGATCCCTATGCTGTTCATGAAACTATTGCAGGATTAGGATCACAGGCAATGTTTTCAATTAGCCAACCAAATCTCTTGGCAAACAAGAAACGAAAGTACATGTTGTCCTCTAGTATTTCAAAAGGTAGTAATAATAAGGTAAGCTTTCAATGGTCCCCGTTTCCTGTCGAGATGACAGGAGTGTCTACGACCGTTCCCTCACCATCAGGTTCGAAGCTTCTTGTGATTCGAAATTCTGAAAATGAATCTTCCACACAACTTGAAATATGGAGTTCATCTCAGTTGGAGAAGCAGTTCCAGATTCCCCAGTCTACTCATGGCTTGGTGTATGCTGATGGATGGTAAATGGTTTAAGTTTCTTAAGTTGAACTCCGACCTTCATGAATGTGAATATAGTAGAAACTCTGGAAGTGGTTGTAAGAGCATCACTGCCTGGTTGCGGTAGCATTTGCAGCTACTGCAGGATTGTTATATGTAACTTTCTTGGTAGCTATTATCCCTGCAAACACAGAAAAGCTGAAATCTTTCTTAATGGTATAGGTTTGAGGGAATCTCTTGGAACTCCGATGAATCTCTTATTGCTTATGTTGCTGAGGAGCCGTCTCCCTGCAAGCCTTCATATGATTGTCGGGGTTACAAGAAAGGTGCTACAAAAGATAAAGAATGCACAAGCTGGAAAGGTCAAGGGGATTGGGAAGAAGAATGGGGGGAATGCTATGCAGGAAAAAGGCAACCTGCGCTTTTTGTGATCAATATTGACAGGTTTCATTTTCATATATGGTTTTCTTTTTAATCAATGCAATGGCACAGTAAAGGGCTTTGTGCAGTGGAATAACCCTCACTAAACTTCCCTGCATATCACAGTGGCAAGGTACACGCTGTTAAAGGAGTCGAGAAGTCTTTGAGTGTAGGACAGGTGGTTTGGGCTCCATCAGTAGAAGGCATAGATCAATATTTAGTTTTTGTGGGGTGGTCAGCTAATCCGAGAAAGCTGGGTATAAAATATTGCTATAATAGGCCCTGTGCATTATATGCGGTGAAGGTGCCACTTTATAAATCAGAAGCTGCTGAGTCTGATCTCAAGTTGGTTACCTGCTTCATTAAATTGCTTTTGGTTTCTCAAAGTTTTATTCAGTCCTATTTTTTTACTGTTGGAACTTTTCCATGCTACCTTTAATCACGATACGTAATTTTATTGAGACAGATCATTGGAGGAATTAACTGTAGTCAACTTAACACAAAGCATAAGTAGTGCATTCTTTCCACGATTCAGGTATGATATTTAGCCCTTAATCCTTTTGTGAATCCTTTTGTTGTTACGGTGCAAGTGAGGCTCTTTTATATGTGGAGTACCTGCTTCTTGGCTTACTGTTTTTGTTAGTTGCTTATCTTCAAAGAATGCAAGTAAATCTTTACTTTGAAGTCTTTGAATGGCTGTCCAGAATTGCATTTTTTCCGTGAAGTCCTTCCATTTGCTACGACAATATTAATGTACTATTACGCCCATTTAATACTGCTTGATTAACTAGAACCTTTATTTAGCAGCTGCCTAAATGGTTAAAAAAGAGCCTCTCTTCACATGCAAGCTACATCTTTGGAATGTGCTGATTATATGTTAAATATGTTTCTTTTCCCTCAGCCTGGATGGAAATTTCCTAGTGTTTCTATCTGCAAAAGCCTCAGTGGATTCTGGAGCACACCTTGCAACTGATTCTCTTCACCGAATTGATTGGCCTACTGATGGAAAGCTGAGCTCATCTACAAAGATCATTGATGTGGTAAGCCCTCTACTTATCTATACTTGAACGTAATGAGTTCAGTTTTGAGCATGCAATCTATGATATTTATTTGGCTTTTTTTTTTGGGGGGGGTGGTGGGGGGAACCCATTTGAAATCCCAATTTCCCATTCCCTCGAGTTGGGTGCTTCTTTCTTCTACGTTTTCTCTTTTCCCTCAACCGGATTTTGCCATATTCTATTGACTACTTTGGTCATATTGATGATTCTTTTGTGGGACAAAATACAGACTGCTACTGTATCTTATGACAAGTTAATCTTTTCATTCTGTCAAATCTTTGCAGATTCCTGTTGTGAACAGTGCTGGGGACGGTCAGTTTCCGGGGCTTTACTGTTCAAGTTTTCTTAGTAAGCCGTGGCTTTCTGATGGATGCACTATGGTTTTGTCATCCTGTTGGCATAGCTGTCAAGTTATACTTTCTGTAAATGTGTTAAGGTGACTACTGGTTATATGTCTGTTTGTCAGGTTCATAGACTTTTATATTCTTGCTTTATTACTTGATGACATTATTGCTGTAATACAGTGGTGAAGTATTACGTATCAGCCCTGCTGACTCGGGTTCTTCATGGAATGTTCTTACACTAGATGAGGATAATGCCATTGCTGGTAAAATTATTTTTCTTTATTAATCAATAATCTCTCCGTCCTTCTCAAACTAAGAAAAATGAAATTTGTAGTTGTTGTTTCCACATCTCAAAGTGTGTAGCAGCCCGGTCGATGTTCCTCAAATCAAATATGGCTGCCTTATGGGCAAAGCGAATAATAGAACCGGATGGCATTGGCTAAATGTTTCAAGCCCCATTTTCAAATGTTCGGAGAAGGTTTGTTTTGCTTGCTTTTGTTTAATCTGATCTGCATTTCTTGTATACTTTTTTTTTTTTAAATGCTTGCATCTGATGCTATAGGTTATGTCTCTGCTTTCAAATCACCAGTTTGGTATTCTGCAAATTCCGGTGGAAGATGTTTCTGATTGCTTGACAAAAGGTACTACAAATCAGTTTGGCTTGGTGCTGTTGATTTTTGTATCTTAGAATGCTCCAATAACAAGAAGTAACTGCTGGAAAAAAAAAGTTAAATAAAAACTTAAAAGCTGAAACCAAAATACCTCCTTCAACCACATTGAAAACGATAAATGTAAAGAGGAAAACATGATTCTATGTTTGCAACAATTACACTTTGATTTTTGTTGATTAATATAGCAAATACATAGTAGTATGTTTCACACTGGATAAGGAGCCATATATTTGTGATTGATTTGAAGGATAAAATAAATGTTTTCATTGCAATTGCTTTCGGTTGGCCTCTGATTAGTATCAAGGTACTGCAATTATGAAGAAAAAAAGTTTTTGATGATGGAATTTGTCCAATTCATTCAGGAGCTGCTAAGTCTTTTGAGGCCATATTTGTATCTTCCAAAGTAAATGATGCACCTGACCCTCTAATAGTGGTCCTTCATGGGGGTCCCCATGATATCTCCTTGTCAAGCTTCTCAAAGTCATTGGCATTTCTTTCTTCAATTGGTTTCAGTCTATTAATTGTAAATTATAGGTGAGTAAAAATACATTTATACTTCTTCGGGAAGTTTAACTTGCAGTCTTGCAGATCCTTTGTGATCTATTCTTAACCTTTATCTTCATCCTACATTGCAAATTATTTCAGAGGTTCACGAGGATTTGGCGAGGAGGCATTGCAATCTCTTCCTGGGAAAGTCGGGTCTCAGGTGCTTATTCTCGATATACATGTGCTCGGTCATCAACTTATTATCTCAGGTGTAACTGTTTGAATCATTGTGCTGTAACATGGACAGGATGTCAATGATGTACTCACCGCTATAGATCATGTTGTCGAGAAAGGACTTGTCAACCCTTCTAAAATAACTGCTGTTGGTATTTCCCATGGTGGCTTTCTAACCACGCACTTGATTGGTCAGGTTCGGTTTTCACTTGAAGTAATGTGAATGTGTTTTAGTGCACCTTTAGCGGGGAAAATCTTTGGTTTTCGGTATTACAGGCATCTCTCTTTGATCAAGCAATTGTGAAACATATTCCTTATCATTTACAGGCACCAGAAAAGTTTGTCGCTGCTGCTGCATTGAATCCAGTATGTAACCTTTCATCTATGGTCGGCATAACAGATATCCCTGATTGGTGTTACGTAACAGCGTATGGAACCAATGGGAAAACTATCTTTACTGAAGCACCTACGGCCGAACACTTGACTCACTTTTACAGCAAGTCTCCTATATCACATATCTCGAAGGTACATTAACTGAAAGACTAATTTTCTGGTATGATGCCAATTGAACTGATTAGCTTTGTGCCGTGCACACCGGTGCAGGCTTAGAATACGAACTTGCTTTGCTTTCCCTTCAAAAGGTTGCCATTTGAACAATCAGATGGGGTAAAGTCGTTTAATTTGATGTCTTTGCAGGTTAAAGCTCCAACCCTCTTTCTTTTAGGTGCTCAGGATCTTCGAGTCCCGGTTTCCAACGGATTGCAAGTACGATAAGTTTCCTTTCTGTTAAGCTAATATCATACTGTCTCACGTGAACACTTACTTTTTTCCGATTGGAAGTTGACATGATCCGAGTTCTGATCACGTATGATAATTGCTGTTTGAAACTCGTAGTATGCACGGGCATTAGAGGAGAGAGGAGTTGAGACCAAGGTTATCCTGTTTCCCAATGAAATCCATGCAATTAAGATGTAAACACCTGCTCTGATGAAGAAACTTCTGATTTTTGCTTAATTTAATCACTCATCAAAACCTAAAGACGATGTCATACCATCGATATCTGATATATATATTCATACATATTTGTTTTTCGCAGGCCACAATTCGACTTCGAAAGCTTTCTTAACATCGGTGTTTGGTTCAAGAAGCATTGCAAATGAAATGAACAGGTAAGCTCTTGTCTGGCATGAAACATGTTCTGGATTGTCTGAAACTGAACTCCCAGATTGTTGGCTACTTGGGGTTGGGGGATGGCCTTTTGTAATCAATAATTTAATCATCATAATATTCTTGGTTAAGTCTATGATGGTTAATTTGTCCCTTACAATACCTTAAATAATGTAAAGATTAGTATTTCATATATACACAACTGTATTTCCTTTCTCGATAAATATGTTGAACATGCACATATCAAAAATATTCATTGTAACTCCACTTGCATTGTTGGTAACTAGGGGTGTAAATGAACAGAGCGTTTGATGATATGTTCGTATAACGTTTCGGTTATATTCATTTATTAAACTAAATAAACGAGTACGAATTTTTTTTTACGACCATTTAATAAACAAACAAACACTAACATAGGCTTGTTTGGTTCATTTATGTTCATAAACAAGCTTATTTATTGGCTCGTTTATAAACTCGTTTATCAATTCATTTATAAGATTGTTTACCCGGTTCTCATTTTCCTTATATCTTTTTCAATATAGTGGAGTTCGCTTACCCGGTTCTCATTTTCCTTATATCTTTTTCAATATAGTGGAGTTAGGGACTAAATTGAACACAGTGAATTTCAAAATCAATAATGTGAAACCTAAGGAGCTTAAGGACGTTAAACGAACACGATCAAGAATGTTAAAAGAGAGTGTTCGTTGCCGAATATTAAACAATGTTAAATAGACACGTCCAAGATTGCTAAACGTACCAAACATCTTCAAAAATAAACAAAGAAATACAAATATTATATTAAAAATTTAAACAAACATAACCAAACATGAATGTCTTAAAAGATAAACAAATGAATACGAATATAGTCTTATTCGTTCAAACTTAGTTCATTTACACCAAGTAACAACCGGTATTATTTTTGTTATTATTATTATTATTATTATTATTATTATTATTATTATTATTATTATTATTATTATTATTATTATTATTATTATTATTATTATTACATTGTTTTCACCAAGCTAATAGTAATACATGCTTGAATGAGACTCGACCAACACTCAAACAAACAATACTACATATTGAATGAAAAAATACAGGTGGATATTGTTGGTCAGCTCCGTTGAATCCCACTCGGCCATGCCCATGTCTGATTCTTCACAGGTTCCAGGATTGCTTCGACTTTGGCTAGAGTTTTCCGATCCATCCCGAACAGCACAAGTTCCGTCGCAGAAGCAACATTCTCTTCAACCTAATGATTGGCAAGCCAGACATTACTAACAGGGTATGAAGATCGAATGAGAAAAATTCTATTATGGGGCAAGAAGTATGAATAAGAACCTGTTCAACAGAGTTCATGCCGACCAGCACCAGCGAAATATCTTCATTCGACAAGCTGTATTGCATAGCTAACTTGGAAATATTCTTCCCTCTCTCTTTACAATAGACAGCAGCAGCTCGGCAGGCAGACTAAAGAAAGGTTATGAAGGCATATGAAAGCTTTATATTCGAGCAGATGAGCTATGGCAACTGGTCTTGTAGTCTCACCTTGAGTTCGGGTGATGCCGGATGCCGCTCCAGTGGACCAAGCTCAGTGAGAAGTCCCATGGCAAGTGGATCTGCACTGATTATCCCAACACCTTTGGTCTTCAAATAAGGCAATAAATTCTCCAATGTTGAATCATTGAAGCTATAATGGCAATATGACAAGATCACATGAACTGTGCCTGGTGGAACCCTATCAAGCACACAAGTGAAGATGTCCAATGGTAATCCGGTGATACCGATGAAACGAATATTCCCAGCTTCCTTCAGCTTTTGGAGCGCCGGAATCGTCTTGTTCACGATCTGTTACAACATTCAAACAGAACCGAACTAGCCAGAGCTTTCGTATTATGTTCACGATCTTGTTCACGATCTTGTTCACGAGCGCCAATGGTATTAACCTGATCGAGAGGGCCGAATTCGATGTCATGGCACAGGAATATATCAACATAATCAAGTTGCAACCTTTCCAAGCTTTCATCGATGCTTTGAGTAACTCTCTCCGCACTGAAATCAAAGCCTTCACGATATCTCCCAATGGAAACGATATATTCATTTCTGGGAACTCCAAGAGCTTTAAGTCCCTTGCCAAGCATCTTCTCTGACAATGTCGCACCATAATACCTTCAAAATGACCACACAAAAAATATATGAAATTCAACGGATTAAACAAAAGAAAAAGAAGAAGAAAGAAGTTTTAAAATTTGGGATTACGGGGAGGAGTCGAAGTAGTTGATTCCGAGGCGGAAGGCTTCGCGGACGGAGGCGACGGCGTCGCTTTCGGAAACGGGACGGGAGATGTTGCCGAAAGAGGAAGCACCGAAACCCAGGCTGCTGAGCTTGAGGCCCGTGTTGCCCAGAGTCCTGAGTTCTAGTTTGGGAACTGCCATGGGTTGAGTCTCAGATGGGTTTTCTTTCTTCTTCATCTTTTTCTTAGATTCTGAGGCTTTGTTTTCGGTTTTCTTCTTTATTCCCCTATCCACCCTTCCACGAATGTTCCTTCTCTTTTTAGCTGTTCCGTAAGATATTTTCTATAGAAAATCCCATTAACAACTTGATCAATGCACTGTATGATGAATCAGATCATTTCAGATTTGCTTGCCTATCTCTGCCTGCTCCTGGGAATCATTTATTTTTGAATTTAACCTGTATTATTTATCTCAATTAGAAGGAAACTATAAAATCCCAATGATCAATTGGTTTAATAGGATGAATTATTAATTATTTTAAGTAAAATTAGATACTTGAATTTTAACATTATAAATAAAGCAAATTGAGTTGGAATAAGCTTAGATTGTCTTCAACCTGAGATTCTCTTGTTTGTAAACATCAAATTCTGAGAATTTATTAGAACTCCCCAAGAAACTAACAGGGAAACTTGTATCCAGATGCTAAATATCACTATAAATTCCATCATTTACATTGAACAATACTAGAATAAGCCCCTCAACAACTCTTGTCTAATTCACCAAAAGAATAAAGTGAAAGAAACAAAACCAATCACCCCACCAGATTATCCCAAGCAACAAATAAGTCTCCAAGACCGGCTTCTAGATCCAACCACCGTCCTTCCTCAAACTCCATTGTGCCTTCCACCACCTTCAACTCCACCAAAACAAACAACTCCGCTATCTCCACCATCTCCACCGTCAGCACCACCTTCCCTTTCCCCATCCCCAACACCCCTCTCTTCCCTTTCTCAACTCTGTATCCCAATTTCTCCCCTGCCTCCTTCACCCTCTCCACCACTCCTTCCAACTCCATTGATGCCCTATACCTCTTCTCCTTCCTATTCACCTCTTCAAAAAGACCAGACAAATCCAACCCCGAAGACAATGATATTATGTCAAAAGCATTAACCCCGTTACAAACCATCTCATGTTTCAACTTCCTGCCCTGTAACAAACTGTCATGTTCCTTGTTCGATGATGTATACGCAGTTACAGATCGCTTAAGCCATGGTGTTTCCATTAACTTCACCAAGCTCATTCTCGTGGAAGGATTCGGATCTAAAAGCTGCCGTATGATGGTTTTCACAGGCTTTGATATCCAAGATGGAAACTCGAATTCCCTACGATGAATCTTTTTGTACATCCCCACTAAATTACTGTCATCAAAGGGTAATTTACCGGCCAATAAAACGAACAAAATCACTCCACAAGACCAAGCATCGGCCTTGGAACCATCGTATCCTTTCATCCGAACAACCTCGGGAGCCGCGTAAGCCGGTGTTCCGCAAGCTGTATGTAAAAGTCCGTTGTTTAGCTGCTCCGGTAGAGCCGAGAGGCCGAAGTCTGAAACTTTAAGATTTCCGTTTTGGTCTAACAAGAGGTTTTGCGGCTTTACATCACGGTGGGCGACGCCGTTTTGGTGACAGAAATGGAGGGCGGAGACGAGTTGGGTAAAGTACCTCCGAGCGGTGGTTTCAGTCAATCGGCCACGGCGTAAAACTTTGGCGAAAAGTTCACCACCGGAGGCGAATTCCATGACGAGATAGATCTTTGTCTTCGTGGCCATGACTTCGTGGATCTTAAGGATGTTCGGGTGATGTTGGAGGCGGCGCATGGCGGAAACTTCACTGATGATCCTCGGTTCCATGGCAGCATCAACCGTTTTCGTCTTGTCTATAATCTTGATCGCCACGACGTTGGTGCTGTCGTCGAGTAAAGTCGCCTCGTGAACCTTGGCAAAGCTACCATGTCCCAACAAACGACCCAATTGATACTTGCCCAAGAGTATGCCGCCGGTGGGTGTTTTGGTTCGGGTGATTCTTATCGGCGGTGGCGATGGAAGTGATGGTGGTGCTGGATCATGCTGTGACGGTGTTGGTGGTGTTGGTGGTGGTGGGGGAAGGGGCGGAGGAGGCCCTGATGGCATGGTCACTAGAGGTGACGCGCTAAAAGAGAGTTTGAGACCAAAAGGGAGAGTGCCACAAGGGTTGATTGGGGGGTTAATAGGCTTATATATTGAGAGGTTTGCTTCTCACTGTCCTCCCCGATACGGGACTTCCCGTTTTATTTCGGTTTTCCTTAACTACCCTTTAGCTGTTGCACAACTTGACCAGGTTTTTCTTTTGTTCCTTACTATTCTAGTTTTCTCTAATCATTATTAGGATATATTTAGATTTTTCTTAAAAGTATCCAATTTCAAACGTCATAAATAATAAGAGCTTTGGATATATATTTAATAAAAAAATTCAATATATATATAATTACTGACATGTAAAAAATATATGTAAGTTGGAACGGTGGTGAGAAATCAAAAGTCATGAAGCGGTGTTGAGAAAGGATGATAAAGCCTCCTCTAGGTTAGGTCTTTATGACTTTCAATCATTCTTATGTTGTTGTTTCTTAGAATCACCGGCACACAGCCTGCCCACCGCCAACAACACCTTCACACCTCCCCCTTTGCGTCCTTTTTCTTTTAAGTTTTAAACTCAAAAATATACTAATTAGATCGTTTAATTTATTAATTATGATAACTAAATAATCTAATTTATTAATTATAATAATTAAATTATTAAATTTATCAATTATTATAATCAAATTACAACTTAGCCATAAAATCTTCAATAAAATGAGGAATTTGGCTTTATTTGGTAACTTAGTAGGTATGTGAAACCGTTGAAGAGTTTTGGGAGGCGGTGCATATTGTCATGCAGCTGCCGCCAATGATACAATTATCACATGTGTGAGGGAAGGAATTTGGTCAAGTAAACGTATTGGCTAACGCAGGCGTTGGTGTGCGGTCGGACTCAATTGGACGGCTTTGAAACTGCCATTGACAAGCAATATAGCATTGCTGGTCACCTCTGTTAGTAGGATTTGGACTAACTTTATTTGTTTATTTCCTGAAAATTATGGAGTAAAGGCTTCTAATAAATCATTTTCATTTACAATGTTTATTTATAATCTTTAAATAATATTTTCAATCATTTTCAGAAGTACAATTCAACGGTGGTTTCCAATTTTCAATAGAGTTGATAATGTTCAACGTGATATAGTTGCATATTAAAAAATAATTAATATACATATAATAGACACAAAATGAAAAAAAATAGAGAAACAGAACATGCATATGTATAATTAATACCAAACTATTATTACATGAAGAGAAAAATAAGAATTGTTAAATCTTCTTTTCGTGTTTTAAAATTTTGAGTAGGAATGGCAATGGGTCGGGTTCGGGGTGGGTTTTGCTCACCCCGTTCTCGAATCCGAAATGAATCTTCGTCCCCGACCCCGACCCGGTCCCCGAAGGGTTTTTTATGTGGGCACCTCGTCGGAGATTTTTTTTCCCGTCCCCGAACCCGACCCGAAATATTATACCCGAACCCGAAAATATTTTATATATAATTAATATAAAAAATATAAAATATTATATATATAATTAATATAAAAAGTATAAAATAGTATATATATATATATAATCGGGTCGGGTCGGGGCAGGGATACCTTGCCCCGAACCTGAACCCGACCCAAAAAAATCCCTGGAAAAAAATCATCGATACCCGACCCGATCCGAACTTGATCGGGTTTCGGGTTTCCCCGTCGGGTTTGAGTTATATTGGCATCCCTAATTTTGAGGGGCTAATTAAGAATTTTTAAATATTTTATAGACTGAAATCAAATTTCCCAGATTCTTGGGGGCATTTGCGGACGGGCCCTAACAACCGTCAGTCCCTTCCTGAGCAGCCATCTTACAAGTTACAAGTCAGGATGGAAGAATCTTAACAAGTTTTTAATGAACGTTGTTATAATAGGCGTGCCAAGTAGCATTTCATATTCCCCCCCCCCTTTGGTTTAACTTTACTCCAAATACCTGTTCTCTTTGTACGTTTGTAATTTAGTTTCTTTGATTTTAAGTTTACGAATCTAGTCATTGAACTCTTTTGATTTAATAATTGAAGTCCGATCGAAAACATCGTCAAAAAATTTCTCTTATATTGAGCGTCATTCCCTTCATTCCGGAGGAACTGAGATATCAATTCTCGTCACCTGATCCTTATTTATTTCTTTTTAATGAGATATTATCTTTTTATCGATCACCAAAATATGATAAAAGATTCAAATTAAATGAGGTGAATCACGATCGATCGTTCATCGATCGCTATCTTTAATTCATCCAACAATCTTTAACCATCCTTCAATCGTTGTACAATTAATACCATAAATATGAATATTTTTTAGACTAAAAGAATTAATCTTCATCGTTAAACCTAGTGCCGGCCCTGGGCATAGGCCAAGGGGGTGATCGCCTAGGGCCCCAAGTTTAGAAGGTCTCATTTTTAAAATTATTTTTAAATTTAATAATTAAAAAATATTTTTAAACATACTTTTTTATTTCAAATACTCTAAAATATGGTAATTTAGTGGGCCTCAATAATTAAAAAATATTTTTAAACATCATTTTTTATTTAAAAAACTCAAAAATATAGTAATTAAGTAGACCTCATTTTAATGATGGGAGAAATCTAGATATGAACGCCCAATTATCTTATTGTCATCACCTTTTGGCCTAGAACCTAAACATGCATCTTCTACCCTCGTCCAAAATAGGTCAAAGACCTAAACACAAAATAAAAATAAAAATTAAATGCACATTGGACCGAACATCTGGTGGACAATAAAGAAGAAGCACTACCCAACGATCTTAAGAAAAAGCTTTTCATAGGAGAACGATGATAAAATACCATATTCAAGGCAATCACAATCGTCAAATTTATATAAAACAATAAATTAAAATATTAAAAATTATTTGGAACAATAACAAGACATGTTGTATTGTTAGGAAAGACAAATGAGATGCCTCAAAAACATTAGAAATTTGATGTTAACCTATTAAACAAATCATTATCACTAGATAAAACAGTTGCTTATTTTGTAGGAACAATACTAAAAGTAATAATAAAATCATAGCCTGCCGATGATGGCATTTTATGGCCATATGGACCAATGAAGAGACATAATTAGATGACAAATAGCCTTGTTGGACCTCTATAAAGAAAGTATTAGATGTGAATATAATGGTCACCAACATAAATTATTTTATACAATCTCATATATAATCAATTAGTTAATAATGTTTTATAAAGTTTAACTTTAAAAAGACAAAAAGACTTGGTAAACAGTGCAGTCATAGGAACAAATTATTTAAATAGTGATGCAATGCAAGAGGAATATGCTGTCCGTTCTCGAATTTTCCATGAGCATTATTATTATATTCTCTATTATTTTCATTAAAACTATTCAAGGATTAAATGCATAATTATACCAAATAGCTTCCAAAAACTTGATACCAAGTTTGGTCACTGCGAAAACAGCACAGGAAGCAGAGGATATTGTAATCAAGAAAGAGAGTTGATCAGTTAATTCTGTGGCTCAAGGGATTGAGAACTGAATGTACTCATCTTATAAATAATCATTTGTTACACAGAGATTAAGAGTATGAATGAATGATAATACTACTTCAAAATTCACAAACATTACTGTCCCAAGCAACAAATATGTCTCCAATACCGGCTTCTAAATCCGACCATCTCCCTTCCTCAAACTCCACCGTGCCTTCCACCACCTTCATCTCCACCAAAACAAACAACTCCGCTATCTCCACCATCTCCACCGTCAGCACCACCTTCCCTTTCCCCAACCCAACACCCCTCTCTTCCTTTCTCAACCCTGTATCCCAATCTCTCCCCTGCCTCCTTCACCCTCTCCACCACTCCTTCCAACTCCATTGATGTCCTATACCTCTTCTCCTTCCTATTCACCTCTTCAAAAAGACCAGACAAATCCAACCCCGAAGACAATGATATTATGTCAAAGCATTAACCCCATTACAAACCATCTCATGTTTCAACTTCCTGCCCTGTAACAAACTGTCATGTTCCTTGTTCGATGATGTATACGCAGTTACAGATCGCTTAAGCCATGGTGTTTCCATTAACTTCACCAAGCTCATTCTCGTGGAAGGATTCGGATCTAAAAGCTGCCGTATGATGGTTTTCACAGGCTTTGATATCCAAGATGGAAACTCGAATTCCCTACGATGAATCTTTTTGTACATCCCCACTAAATTACTGTCATCAAAGGGTAATTTACCGGCCAATAAAACGAACAAAATCACTCCACAAGACCAAGCATCGGCCTTGGAACCATCGTATCCTTTCATCCGAACAACCTCGGGAGCCGCGTAAGCCGGTGTTCCGCAAGCTGTATGTAAAAGTCCGTTGTTTAGCTGCTCCGGTAGAGCCGAGAGGCCGAAGTCTGAAACTTTAAGATTTCCGTTTTGGTCTAACAAGAGGTTTTGCGGCTTTACATCACGGTGGGCGACGCCGTTTTGGTGACAGAAATGGAGGGCGGAGACGAGTTGGGTAAAGTACCTCCTAGCGGTGGTTTCAGTCAATCGGCCACGGCGTAAAACTTTGGCGAAAAGTTCACCACCGGAGGCGAATTCCATGACGAGATAGATCTTTGTCTTCGTGGCCATGACTTCGTGGATCTTAAGGATGTTCGGGTGATGTTGGAGGCGGCGCATGGCGGAAACTTCACTGATGATCCTCGGTTCCATGGCGGCGTCGACCGTTTTCGTCTTGTCTATAATCTTGATCGCCACCACGTTGGAGCTGTCGTCGAGTAAAGTCGCCTCATGAACCTTGGCAAAGCTACCATGTCCCAACAAACGACCCAATTGATACTTGCCCAAGAGTATGCCGCCGGTGGGTGTTTTGGTTCGGGTGATTCTTATCGGCGGTGGCGATGGAAGTGGTGATGGTGGTGGTGGATCATGCTGTGACGGTGTTGATAGTGGTGGTGGAAGGGGCGAAGGAGGCCCCGATGGCATGGTCACTAGTGGTGGTAGGAATAAAGAGAGGTTGAGACCAAAAGGGTGTTCCACAAGGGTTGATCGGAGGGGTTGAGTTGGCTTATATAT